GACTATACTAATCTAACTCCAGAACGGTAAGTTGGATCTCATGTAAGTTAAAGTAGATGACCTCTTAACCACCATTTCTATTTTTGCAGGAATTTCAAGAAGCCTACATTTTGATAATCGGTTTTCTCGAAATAAGTCAAGTGATTATGCAGAATAGGAAAATCTACAGATATAAAGCAACAAAATTTCTAAATACAATAAAATAAAATGCATATTGCAGTTATTAAAGTATATTCCACTGCCTATCATAACTGCGCACCCATAAAACCCCTAAAACCACCGTTTGCATAGGATGAAATGCTGGGACTAGGTGCATATGAGGTGCACTACTTAAAATACGTTTGTCTAATCGCCTGGCGCAAGTTCTAAGAACAAAATGGCATCAGCATTAGCAGACATGTTTGAACAGTTGCTACGTGATAAAAGTTAGCCAGATCTAAAGAAAGCGGCCTCTAAATAAATACATTCTGATGTATTTGCAGTTTAACAAGTCGTATGCGAATTCTTCTGTTGAAACAAAATGGGGGAGGGTACTTTAGTTAAACGTCAACCTTCTTGATACATTTTTGATTTTCTGGCTTTTCGAAATAAGGAGTAGAAGAGAGGTAAAACATATAAAGAACCGTTTTTGCTTTCATTATCCCCGGAAGAGGAAGAAGAAGAAGAGGTGACAATTCCTGGGACCAAGTTATATTTAGGCTGACGTTTCAAAAACGTTCTCGTTTTCATCGTCGTAGCGTGCTGTCTACTCTTCTGCCGGCGTTTTTAACGCCGCAAATAACTTTCCGAAAAAAAGAAGCTTTAGAATTTGTAACTGCCAATTCGGGCCTTATCGGTTAACCAAATCTCCTTCGTTAACTTTAGCATAATTTTCATGCAAACATTAAAAAAGATGAATTTGGAGAAGGTACTTTTTCAATTATGAATAGTCGAAAATATGCGAGGCCCAGGTAATAGAATAGAAGGCAAGAAGACGCTCTCTGGGACCAGAGAGCGTCTTCTTGCCTTCTATTTTTCAATTATTCACCTTTGGACTAGTACAGTTACTTAAGTCCGTAAAGGGCTAAGTACTGAAAGTTTATAGCAACCAGTGAGCAGTAGTCATGAGGCTTAGGAATGAGGGCGTTCAACTGAATAATTGAAAACGGTTCTTTGTCGTTTTTTACCTCATATAAGGAAAATCCTAAATATTGTGTGTCAATCATCATAGAGAGCCGCTATTATGTGGAATTCGATTCTGCCTAAAACGTGATGAAAGCATACTCTAACTGATCACGAAAATAGCTTTAGATAGTGGTGTTTTTAAATGGCAGAGTATAGTAGCTACTACCACTAATAATAATAGTAGTACTAGTAGTACCATTAAGG